TGGCTCAGCCCACCCTAGGGGCTGGGCTGGTGCAGCATATGGTGCTAGGGAAATCAAACCATGGTCCTTGCACTTGCCTAAGCAGGTGCTGTAGTTCACTGAGGTATCTCACAAGCCCCCTGAGACAAGGTTTTGCTAGGTTGTTCAGGCTGGACTTGAACTCATTTTGTAGGCCAGACTGGTCTCAAACTTGATGCAATCCTCTTGCCTCAGTCTTCTTAGTGCTGGGATTACAGGTGTGTGCTAGCACATCCAGCTTTTTCTTTTTTCTGTATTTAGGGTAGGGTCTACAGGGTGTTCAGGGTCTCACTACTAGATCAGACGCCTAGTGATTCTCCTGTTTACAGCCTCCCAAGTGCTGGGACTACAGGTGCATACCACTACACCCAGTCTCAATCACTATCTCAGCATGCCCTGGGGGCAGGGCCAGCATGACAGGCCAGGGATCAAACCCTGGCCACTGCGCTATGCCTAAGCAGGTGCTTTAGTCTGTTGAGTTAGCAGGCTGGCCCCAGCTTTGTTTTTTGACAGGATCTGATGATATAGCCCAGGCTGGCTTTGAACTTGTGGCAATCCTCCTGCCCCCCTCTCCCCTTCTGAGGAAGGCTAAGGATTATAAGTATAGCACATTCTGCTTTTATTATGGTTTTCTAGGGCCGGCCAAATAGCTCAGTGGTTTAAAGTGCAGGGGCCAGGGGGTTCAATCCCCAGGCCTGCACCCCACCCCCAGGGTGTGCTGAGACAGCAATTGAGATTGGGTATGGTGGTGCCTGCCTGTAATCCCAGCTCTTGGGAGGCTGTATATGCAGGCGGATCACTACAAGTCCGATCTAGTAGTGAGACCCTAAACACCCTGTAGACCTTTCCGTAAAACACACACACATACACATACACACACACACACACACACACACACTCATTAGATAGTCCAGGCTGGCCTTGAACTTGTGATCCTCCCTTAGCTTCCCCAGTCTTAAGATAACAGGTGTACACCCCTATGTCCAGATCTAGTACACAGAATATTTAAAGTTTGTTAAGTTTGGCTGGGGACTTAGCTCGGTGGAAGTGTGTGCCTAGCATGTATGAGACCCTGGCTTCAGTCTACACACACACACACACACACACACACACACACACACAAACACACTTCAGTACCTTCATCAAGTACTGAAGGAAAGTGATGGTATGTACTAGATACTTGTTTTTTTTTCCCTTTCCCTAAGAAATAATCATTGCCTCTGAACATGTGATTCAAACGGGGGCTTTCATTGGATAGCAGCTCGTCCAGGTAGACCAATCAGTGCCTTCCTCATATTTTTACACTTGAGATAAGAAGTCTTACTTGTGACTTCGAGTTATAAATATGAGTCTGGGAACTTCTCCTTGGTGGAGAATCCATCCTCTCCCATAGAGACAAAACATGTCTACAGCATAGGAAATCAGGCTTTGCCGGATAGCTCAGTTGTTTAAAGTGCAGCTTGGGTAAACGCAGGCAGGTGCATAGGACTGTGGTTCGACTCTCAGCTCCAGAGGCTGTATCAGAACTGCTGTTAAGGCAGCATGAATAAGCAAAAAAAAAAAAAAAAAAAAAAAAAACCCAAAACAAAAAAACAAACCTCCTTCTCAAAATTTTGGGGCCAGGGGAGATAGCTCAGTAGAATAGGCACTTGCCTGGCAAGCGCAAGGTCCTAAATTCAATCCCCAATACCACAAAAAACAAAAACAAAAACTACTTTCCCACTATAGCATAGGAAATCAAAATGTGTCCTGGTAAGGTCTAAGTTACCCAAGACGCTAGCATACTCCTTTCTTTCCAAACTTGTCATTATACTTCCTTTTGGCCTAAGGTAGGTAGCTGAGTTCTTCATCTACTAAAAGAGCTCAAATTTAAGCTTGTTTCTAGAAATTCTAAACTAGTGATTTCATTCTTGCCAATACTAGCTACCATAGTGATACAGTGTTTTATCTAATTTCTTTTCAACACCATACACAGACTCTGGAAGAAAAGTGTGACAATTCACTAAAAGCAGAAAGTACTTAAGACAAATAGCTGTTGAAAACTCCCTGGAAGATGTATAGGCAGAACAGTGTCACTGTTTCTAAAATACATCAGTAGCAGATGTGATGGCGCATGACTGTAATCCTAACTATGGGAGGCTGAGGCAGGAGAATCTCAAGTTTGAGCCTAGCCTAGTCACCTCAGCAAGACCCTAACTGAAAATGAAAAAATGGGCTGGGGATGTAGTTTGGTGTGGAAGGCTCAGGGTTCAATCCTCAGTACTACAAAGGAAATCAAGGAAGGGAAGAAATCAGTGAGCAGACAAAGTTGCTGTCCATCATATGCAGAATAATTGCTCTAAGTCACCTTTCTGGAGAACTCCTTTTCTTTGTCACTGAGTGCTTGGGTTTTCTCTTGCTCAAGAAGGAAATGTGATCTTTTTTGTTCTTCCAGAATGGATTCTGACTGGTGCAATGAGTCCCGCAAGATTTTAATTTCTCCATTCTTAATGAGGATTTCTTCTTCCATTGCCTTCAGCTGTAAATCCCAAATTAACTGACAGTTAGCAAGAACAGGATGTACTTGTCACTCACTCATATGGATTATTTTTAGTATACTAGTTATATAGACTAGGTTTCATTTCATACATGCGGATAATGCACCTTCATCACTTCCCCTTTACCCCACCCCAGTTTCCTTCCTCTTCTCTCATAGTCTTCCTTCCACTTTCATGTCACATGTAGATTCTTTAGGCTCTACAGGCAGTTACCAATCCAAGATAACACTTCAATGAAGTGGAATTTCACATTTTGTTCCTGGTTTTCTTACGAACTCACATGTAGTCATAAAAGGGAAAAACCGTACAAGAGAAATTATTCTTTTTAAAACTTTGTTCTTTTCATGGCTTGTAATTATTTTCTTTTTATATGTTTGGTACAGGGTCTACAGGGTGTACAAGGTCTCACTACGTAGCTCGGACTCCTAGTGAGTCTCCTGTTTATAGCCTCCCAAGTGTTGGGATTATAGGCATGGCACCACGCCCAGTCTTCCATCCAAGTACTAACCAGGCCTGACTCTGCTTAGCTTCCAAGATTAGACGAGATTGGGTGTGTTCAGGGTGGTATGGTTGTAGACACCACGCCCAGTCTCAATTGCCATCTCTGTGCACCCCAGGGGCAGGGCTGGCACGGCACGCTGGGGATTGAACCTCGGCTGCTGTGCTCTGCCTAAGCAGGCACTTTGTCCGCTGAGCTATATGGCCAGCCCCATAATTATTTTCTTGACCCTGTAACCATGAGAGTGTAATCAATCATACAGGATGCCTGATTTTACCATTGTACCTAGCTTCATAAACTGATGACCATTAATCTACCCTTATAACCACTGATCTAACCCTGCTAGCTAATCAGCACTGCCAGGCTGTTCTTGTCTTTGTACTTCCTGCTTGTGCCTCATACAAAAGCCCTAGATCAGTAGAAATCAGAGCCTGATATTTTGGGAATGATCCCAATCAGTGACCATCAAAGTAAATAAATCTGCCTCCATATCCTGGCTGTTGTTTCAGTGTTTCTGCTTGCCTTTGCAGTCACACTAAAGCTACTAATAAAACAGCAATCATTATCATGTTCTTCATATAGAGATATATGCTACAAATTCTAATCAGTGCATTAACAGTCTGTATTTTTCCTCTTGGATCTGGTGTACAGTGTTTCTTTTTTTGTCTTGCTGTTGGGAAGCTCACATTGTTTCTTTCAGTCTAAATTTTCTGGCTTTCTATTCCCAACCTTCTCTCACTTTACAGGAACAAACTGAGATGCTTGTTTAAAAAACTTTTATATGCTTTCCTGTACAATGCTTTTAAACACCTAAGTGAATGAAATAGCTATTTTAAGTCATGGAGTGCAGGTCAGTGGTAGGATATATGCTTAATATATACAAGGCCCTAGGTTTTTTATTCCTCAGCATCAAAAATAAACAGCAGCAACAGAAACCCCAGAAGTGAAGCTACTTACCTTTTCCTTAAGTTCTTTGTATTGTGTTTGAAGTACCTCTAGTTCGAAGTTATCTTTAACTGGAGCATTTTCTCTGTTCTTCGCTGCAGGACTATTTGACATCCCATCTAATCTGCGGACCTTATGAACAGCTGTATAAAACAATTCCGATGTACATTTTAGGACCCAAATTTTTCCCACTGTTGCCAAAAAATGCAGAAATGAATCACTATTATGTGTGTATATGTGTTACCATGGATTGAATCCATGGCCCATTTACCACTGAGCTACATACCCCAGCCATTTTTATTTTTTGAGACTAAGTCTCATTAAGTTGCCGAGCCTGGCCTCAAACTTGCCTCATTTTCCTGAGTAGCTGAGGTTATAGTTGTGCACCACCATGTCCAACACGAAGCACTCTTGAAAACTGAGAACAATCTAGTAAGCAGTATGTATTGGTATTTTTCAACCTAAGAACATGATGTTAACTCATAAACAATCCTTATAAAATCACAGATGCTACAACTCTCTCCTCACTCAATGTTAAAGGAACTGAAAGGAAAGATTAAAAACTAAAAATAAATAAGTAAAACTAAAAAATAAAGGCTGAAAGGTACTGTGGAGATCTTGCTAGCCAGGACTACACCATTATTGAACAATATTTACTGTGTACCTGCAATATACCAGGAATGGTATTAGTGTCTATGAAGATATGAGTGAACAAAATGGATACAATCCTAAAACTCAGGAAGCTTACAGGACATTTAACAAATAATTACATGAATAAATACAAATACAACTGTGAACCCAGCATGATGGCACACACCTATAATTTCAGCAACCTGGGAGAATGAAACAGGAGGATTACAAATCTGAACCCAGCCACCTGGGGAACTTAGTGAGATTCTGTCTCAAATAAAAAGTAAAACGATTCAGTGATGTAGCTCAGTGCAAATGCCTCGGAGTCACTCTCCAGGTGTGCCTAGAGATCACAACTGTGATAAGGGTTACAGAGGACAAATCGATAATAGCTATAAAAATGTGACTCAGCTCAAGTGCAATGACTGGAACGTTTCCCTAAGAAAGCCTTGACTGGGCTAAGAGCTGAGGATACACGGGGATGAGACAGATGAGTGGAGATAGGGTACAGGAGGCCAGAACATTCAACAGAGCAATGTGTAAGAGTTCCTGTATTATAGGATGTAGGAGGGCTGGGGAGATAGTTCAGCAGTCTAACCGCCTGCCTGGCAAGCCCAAGGACCTGGGTTCGATCCCTGGGACTGCATGCCATGCCAGTCCCAGAACCCTGGGTGTGCCGTGCTGGCCACCCAAACCAGGCATGGTGGTGCATACCTGTAATCCCAGCACTGGGGAGGCTGAGACAGAAGGCCCATTACAAGTCTGAGCTGCATAGTGAGACCCTGTACCAAATAAATAAATAAAGATTAAAGAAATCCTTGAAGTTCAAGAAATGAAAAGTGTGGCTGGAACTAAGAGACAGAAAGTGAGAAAGGGCCAGAGGGCCTTGTTGCTTGGCCTTGCAGGCTACAATATAGATTTGGTCTCTAAGCCAAGCTTATTACTGCACACACCTATAATCCTAGTATTTGGGAAGCTGAGGCATGAGGACTGCTGTGAGTTTGAGGCCACTCTCAGCTACATTATACTACATAGGGCAACCCAGTCTAAACAAAGAAAGAAAGAATGAATTTGGTCTCTATGCTAGAAGTAGTGAGAAGCTATTATTACAGAGTTCTTAATATGAATGTTTACGCATGCCATGTGATACAGCTAGATCTGAGTTCTGAAAAGATCACTTGTGTGTATAGTATGAAGTTTGACTTGCAGGCAGACAAGACTAGAAAGAGTGAGCCAATTTAGCACTGGGTTAGAGCCATAGTAGCATAGGTCAAGATGTTGGCAGAAATATGAAAAGGATGGATTATAAAGATGGATTAAAGAAGAAAAGTTGTTAAGATTTAGAAAAGAATCGGATACAGAGTCAAAGTAGGGGAAGGAGTCACCTTGTGCTACTGGATGAAGAGTGATGCAAATCAGTGTCACACAGACATCTAGTCATCAATGGGTGTTGAATAGCATCTTTTTTGCCAGGCTCCATGCTGGAGATGCTAGAGATGCTGGAGGACTAGGCTTCTAGGTAATGAACTTGTTGCATTTAAGATGCCTTATCTGCCAAGTACAGATTCAAGGTGATTTTATTTGTCTGACAGTCCCATCAGATTTCAGTCATCCTCTAACTAGAATGTTAAGTTCCATGAAGGAAAAAAACTGTATTTTGCTCATCACTCTACAGATCCACTGCAGGTCCTAACCTTTGGGCACCTTGCTAGGTCAGTGGCTGTATCTCATCTTTTTCCTGTCAGGCCCTTTTTCTTTTTCGTTAGGCCCTTTTTGCTCACACTGTTCAAGCACCCTGGACTGCATATGACCTAAAACCTCTCCCGGGTGGTGGCTCTGGAGGTGGTGGTGGTGGTAGTTGTGGTACAAGGATCTCTGCTTAGAACCAAGAGTCTGGCGGTCTTAAGTTTAAAACGTAAAGTAAAAAGTTAATCTGGCTATATATATTTTAAATTGGCTGTCTGATATACCTGATACATTTCTCGCTCCAATCAATGTACTTTTTGGAAGACAACTGTCCCAAGACCCCGGGGCACAGCTCCCTGGGGTTCCGGAGCCTCCACTCTCGAGAGCACCGGTGAAGTCTGCACCTCCCGCCTGGTGAGGGCCCGCAAGACTCACTGGACAGGTCCCGTGGCGTGGCCTGGCACTGGCTCAGGGCTTGGGACGCCAGGATGTCAAGCTCCTCCAGATCGTCGGCGGTGAATTCCCCATGTTCACTGAATGGGTCTTCGGGATCCAAAGGGGCGGCCGCGGGAAAGACCCGGGCCCGCTTGCTCGGAAGGTGGCCGGTGACGGGCGGCGGGCCAGGGTGGAGCTTTGGTGGTCCGCTCCATCTCCTGCTGCCCGGCGCGGAGGTCCCGGCCATGCCGCCCCCGAGGGCCAGGAAGGTCGGCGTGAGGCCTGAGCTAGATCAACTGCCCGCGCGCCGCAGCTCTCCTCAGCCACCAGGGCCCCACCCCCCCCGGCCTACGAGCCAATCAGCCGCCACAGGCAGGGCGCGGGAAAATGACGTTATCGGAGCGTCAATGACGCCACGCTCCGCCCTCCGCTAACCAGGCCTTGCTGTGACTCCGAGCCTAGGGGACGTTAGTGGGAGGTGTATCTGGTTTTTTGAGCGTTGGACTCTTAGCCCCTTCCGCGGTACCCTGGAGTACAAAGCTACATAGGAGCAGTTCGTCCTGGGCTTATCACTGCTTGAAACGAGCAGTCAGGGGTCGTGTACTGTCTTCCCGCCAAACCCACTTGTCGCGTACCTGGCGATTCTTTTAGCAGGAGATCGAAAAAGGGGGCCTTTGGGAGGTGTATGAATGGAGCTGCAGTGACTAGGCATCTTCCAGAATAGTCAGTGTTTCAGATGTATGTATGTGTTCACGGAGAGAGTGATTTGAGAACGTGTACACGTGTGGAAAGGGGTTAACGCACATTTGCTCATCCTGCTGAGGGTGGGAGTTTTCTGTCCCAAGCGTTGTGGAGAAGCAAAATGAGACCTAAGAGGTCCAAGGAGGCCCCCTGGATGTGGCCCTTGGATTGTCCAAAAGTTGGAAGTAGAAAGAATTCTACTAGGAGCAAGAATTCTGCCAGGAGGCTGGTGCATTGAGACTACTCAGACAAGAATTCACGGAGTGCCAGCCTGGAATTATCTGTGGCAAAGAAAGATCAAGGTTCTTTCTTCCTTTCCTTTTTCCTTTCCTTTCCTTCTTTTTGGCGGAACCACGGATTGAAGTCAGGCCTTGAGCTTGCCAGGCAAGCACTTATTCTACTGAGCCATCTCTCCGGTCCCTAAGGTGGGCCACCTTTCACAGGGAAGAATTTGAGCTGGGCTGGATTGCCTGCAGGATTTTAATGAGCAGCAGTGATGCATAGGTAGCAGCTGTGGAGGACTGACATTGATGACAAGAGTGAGAACTTTCAACCTTCAATGCTCAGTATCACATAACCTAGACTGACCCATGAATATTTGTTAAAGCATTTCATGAAAGGGAGATTAAATGAAAAGGAGATTGCTGTCAGGCCTTCAGTGCTTCAGGAGTTTAGTTTTTTTGAGACAGAATTTTGCTATGTAGTTCAGGCTGCCTGGCTTTGAACTCACCATGTATTCCAGGGTGACCTCAAACTCACATCAATCCTTCTGTCTCAGTCTCCCATGTGTTAGGCTTGCAGGCGTGTGTGTGTCACCATGCCCAGCTAGTTTAGTTTTTGAAAACAATTGGTAGGTTCCCTGAAATAGCTGCCTGAACATTGAAAAAAATATTTTCCTGGTACTGGGCTTGAACCACCCAAGGCCTTTGTCCTGAGCTACATCGCCAGCCCTTTATTATCTTTGGATAGACCTTGTTCAATTGTCCAGACTGGGCAGGCTGAATTTTATTTATTTATTTTTGAGACAGTCTTGCTATCACAGACTGGCCTCAAAACTCATAGTGATCCGCTCTCCTAGCAGGCGGCGGCGGCACCTTCTTTTGCAACTATGGCCAAGATTAAGGCTCCGGATCTTCGAGGCAAGAAGAAAGAAGAGTTGTTGAAACAGCTAGACGACCTGAAGGTGGAGCTGTCACAGCTGCGCGTTGCTAAAGTGACGGGCGGCGCGGCGTCCAAGCTCTCCAAGATCTGAGTTGTTCGCAAATCCATTGCCCCTGTTCTCACTGTCATCAACCAGACCCAGAAAGAAAACCTCAGGAAATATTACAAGGGCAAGAAGTACAAGCCCCTAGACCTGCGGCCTAAGAAGATGCGAGCCATGCGCCGCCGGCTCAATAAGCATGAGGAGAAGCTAAAGACCAAGAAGCAGTAGCAGAAGGAGCGGCTGTACCCTCTGCGCAAGTTTGCTGTCAAGGCTTGAGCGGCGTCACAATAAAACTCAAACTCTGAAAAAAAAAAAAAAAAACAACTCACAGTGATCCTCCTGCCTTAGCCTCCTGTGTATTGGGATTAGAAGCATACACCACTACACCTTTCCTGAATGCATAAATTGTCTTAATCGCTGCAGATCTCTGGCTCTGGAGATAAGATTGCTTTTTTTTTTTTTTTTGGTGGTACCAGGGATTGAACTCAGCACCTTGTGCTTGCCAGGCAAGCACTTAATTCCACTGAACTGTCTTCCTGGCCTGAGGATGGCTCATTTGTCATCAGGGATTGGGACCCACCAAGCAGAAGAGCAGTAGTGCTGTTTTGGGGCAGTGTGCTGTTATTAGTCCTCACGGGTTTTTTCAGCACTGCCAGGCTGGGTGCCCTACAGCGAATGCAGAAACTCCAAAGATTCTGCTGTGTGTACAACTTTCCGAAAAGAACCATAGCAAACTGGCATGGATTTTTTCTTTTCTATTAATATTTGCTACACTGTAGTGGTAAACCAGGCCTCAATCCTTTTCAAACTCTTCTAGGCCAGGTGTGTTTTCATATCAGCCTAAGAAAAGAAACAAAAAAATCCCCAAACCACTTGTTTTGACATAGTTGTCTCATGATTCTACAATCCTTTAGTTTGCTTTTATTTTTTTAGGCATTAACTTGCTGTGCAGGTTAGGCTGGCCTTGAACTTGTGGTGATCCTGTTCCATCAGCCTCCCGAGTGCTGGGATTAGTGTTTCACCATGCCTGGCACTAGTTTTTTTAAAAACACATTCTCAGAGAAAGTTTTAAGTTTCTATAATTGTACCAGGACCTGGAGGGGAAAGCAAGACTTGCGCCTCTCAACTCTTTCAGTAAGCACATTTAGATGGGTTATGTAAAGTTTACATTGTAGTCTGAGGTGGCAAATGATAAATCAGAAGACAATTTGGGGTAAGAGATGATGGAATTACCACTTTAGTGATTCAGGAAGAGGTCACTGTACTGATGGTTGAGTTTGGCGATTTGAGGGGTGTCCAGTATGTAGGACCTTGAAGTTTGCATGAAACACAGGCTATTCTGGCTGAAGGACCAGTGAGCTGAATATTAAAGATCAGAAGGAAATGAGTGGTACCTAGATTCTATATGGCCTCACAGGTAATTTTAAGAACTTCAGCTTGTGCTCTAAGCCACTGAATAAATCAAGCAGTAGAAAGTAAATCAAGCAGTGATTTATGGCTTAGTACAATTATTTTTGGTTGAATGTATAGTCTGCAGTAACACAATGGTAGGAGCAGGAAGCTCTATTTGGGGGTGACCAATCCAGATGAAGGATTACAGAATGCAGGGATAGGGGCTGGGGAGATGGCTCAGTGGAATAAGTGCTTCCCTGGCAAGCGCAAGTGCTTGAGTTCAATCCCCGGTTCCTAAAAAAAAAAAAAAAAAAAGGACTGCAGAATGGAGGGATAGTATTAGAAGGAATATGCCAGGGGCAGACTTTATTTTGGACGAAATGTGGGGTAGGACATAAAGCTAGGTTTGGTGGCGCATGCCTATAATCCCAGCCCTTGGGAAGCTGAGGATCACCTTGAGTTTGAGGCTGTCCTGGACTACAGAGTAAGTCTCAAGACAGAAATCCACCAAGGACCTTTCTGCAGACCTAGCAGATATGCAGTCTTCAGGGCATCTGGTTCTTAGTTTTTGGCTGCTTCTTTCTCATTTCTTTTCCCCTTCATAGTATGTACCATTACGTGCCTATACCTATGTATAAAATAGAGGTTCTTTGACAAAAGAAGCTATGTTCACTGGTATATGCCCATGTCTGCACAAAGCTGACTTTTCACATGGACAGATGGATAACACAATTGATCCATTATGACAAATACTGTAACAAACTTTTTTCTTCCTAAATTTTTCTACCCACCTCAGATAACATATTCTATTGAATATACAACCATCCATAGAAGAATAAGGCCTTCAAATAAGTCGGTTTAATGCCAGACAACACAGATTTTAAAACAGAACAAAGATTCAAAGAGTAGACTATAGGATTATAGGCTGGGTTTACTTTAAATTCACAGCTGAGGTATGAATAGTTTAATGAAAATTAAAGAGACAGGGCTGGTGAGATGGCTCAGTGGTCTAAAGCACCTTAGAACAAGCTTAGCAAAGCACAGGGACTGAGGTTCAATATGCCAGCACCACATGCCAGCCAGCCCCGCCCCCTGGTGGGCTGAGCTGGCCACACACACAAATAAATAAATAAAATTAAAAAAAAAATTATTAAAGAGACAATAGGCCACTGTATGATTTTTTTCTTTTTCTTTTTTTTTTTTTTTTTTTTTATAAAATTTTATTCTTACATGTACAACAGACTCCAAGAACACACTTCACTGTAGTTATAGGTGTCAAGAGATTTTATGGGAGGGCATCCAGATATCTGAATAGGAATGGAATCCAGGGTCGTCATCATCGTACACACAAGGAACAGTTTATTTTTTGCCAGATTTCTTAATTCCACCTGTGGCTGCAAAAGGAAAAACAAAAAAACACTTTTAGAATAATACAGTTCTTATGGTAAAAACTCATGGATTTGATGTGGATCCTAGTTAAGGCCTGGTTCTTGCACCATGCCTTCACTTTGCCAAAGGCATGAACAGTAGTTTCCTGATACCTACTCTGTATGAAGGCAGAATGAGGCTGAGGAAGGGGCACAAGCAATGGCTATACACTGTTTCCCATGAACACTATTGTGTGCTTCATTTATTGTGCCACAACAACCCACTTACAGATAAGTCTTTTGTTGTGTTGTTCAATATAAGCTGATAAGTGCTGAACCAGGATTCCAATCTGGATAGCCTGACTATGAGGTCCATGCCACCACATATCCCACCCAGTTTTTCTTTTTTAGTATCAGGAACGGCCCTCAAGACCTTATGCTTGCCAGGAAGGTGCTTATGCCCCTAAGCTATTTCTCTGGCCCCTTATCCTATGTTTTTGTGGTCTGGTTCACTCACTGCACTTACATTTGGGTGCAATGCAGTACAGACTGAACCCAGGGCCTTTGTACTGAGCTACATACTCTATTGTTTTTAATTATTATTTTTGAGACAAAAAGTTGCAGAAGCTGGGCTGGAGTTTGCACTCTTCCTGCCTTGGTTTCTCAGAGTGCTAAAATTACAGTATATGCTACCACTACTGGCTTACTCAAGGCCTGTATGTGGTGGTAGTGTGTGGTGGCACATGCATATAATCTCAGCATTCTGGAGCCTGAGGCAGGAGGACTGCAGCAAGTTTGAAGCTAGCCAGGGCTACACAGTGAGTTCAAGGCCAACCTGAACTACATAGCAAGACCATGTGTCAGAAAACAAAATATGGGCCAGCCAAATAGCTCAGCGAACTAAAGCACCTGCTTAGGCAGAGCACAACAGCTGGTATTTGATCCCTGACCTGCCATGCTACGCAGGCCCCCAGCAGTCGCCTGAGCAGGTGACTGAGACTGGGTGTGGTGGTGCACACCTGTAATCCCTGCACTTGGGGAGGCTGAAAACAGAATTACTAGGAGTCTAATCTACGTAGTGAGATCCTGTACACTGGTAGACCCTGCCCTAAAATTCATAAAAAGAACAAAAACAAAATACAGAGCCGGTCAGATAGCTAAGCAGACTAAAGCACCTGCTTAGGCAGGCATAGGGACTGAGTTCAATCCTCAGCTTGTGTGCAGGCCCCACCCCTGGGGAGTGCTGAGACAGCTAGGCATGGTGATATGCCTGTAATCCCAGTGCTTGAGAGGCTGAAAACAGCAGGATCACTATGAGTCTGATCTGTGTAGTAAGACCCTACAGACTTTGTACTAAATACATAAAAAGAAAGGAAAAAAAAAGATGACATTTGACACTTATGGTAATTAACTAGTTGTAGAATTAAGTATGCTGAATACAGAAAAGATACAAAAATGCTGTAAAAAATCTGTTAAAATATTTCTTAAAAATTATTTAGAAAAATGCCTATTCCATGTTAAGCCTAAAATGTTCAATATTCAGACAGACAGGTTAAGCTTAACAGCCTAGGTTATATGGCAATAACAATAAGCTTCTCTTCTGGAGGGTTAACAACCTAAGTTTGCAGACCAAAATTAGACAAAAAGGAGGGCCGCAAGGAAAGCCAACATTTTGGCCCTAGCCTTCCAAGGTCAATTAAGACTCAGGACATATGAGACCTTGTACTGTAACGTCATGTAACTCAGTAGTGTCCCAAATTTTCTGATCAAGGAGATTATGGGGCCAAAGAGGAAAGTGATCGATGATGTAGAGTGTGCCTAAGGAGAGTCACATGAAAAGAAAACATTCTCTCAGGCTTTCACAGAGAGCACATTGGCCAAGCAATGGCCGTGACTCATCCACATGGCTGACATTGACAAAGGATCTACAATCTGAGGTACAGGATCTCAGGATAAATCCTGAGGGGATTTCACTGACCTTATGAAAAGCTACAACTCTTGTTGCATAGGTCTTGCTTAACCTTGTTCTTAACCATCCAGCAGAAAAGTATAAAAATGAAGTACAAGAAATCAAGTCATGTTGTTATGTTGAGCTATAGGGAACTCAGGTCAACAATTTCTGACATTGCCAGTCAAGCAGAAGACCCAATACTATTATGGACTACTGGACTCTTTTAGAATATTTTGCTGAGTTAACACCCATATAATATTCAAATGATGGAACTAAACAAAAAAGGGGATACAGATGAACATCCACTTTGTATCTGTGTATTCAAAATGATTAGAATAGATGTACAGTTACATTCTCTCAGTGAATAGAAGGATTTGTTCTTTTTTTTTTGCAGAACCAGTGATTGAACTCAGGTCCTCGCGCTTGCCAGGGAAGCGCTTATTCCACTGAGCCATCTCCCCGGCCCCTGATTTGTTCTAATAGTGTTTGTGGACAGGATATCATGTCTGCATTTTGTACAGCAAATAACCACTAGGAAGAGAGTATGCAATGCGTTAACTATTGAAACTATCCTACGAATTTGATTTGAAACTGTCTCGTTGCTATTTGTTTATCAATAAATTATGGAAAAAAATAAAAAAAATAGCAAAAAAATCATTTATGTATTTGGTACAGGGTCTCACTACACAGCTCAGACTCAGTGATCCTCCTGTCTCAGTCTCCCCAACACTGGGATTACAGGCATTTGCCACCACACTGTTTTGGTGGCTGCCATGTGGTACAGGGGATTAAGCCCAGGTCCTTGGGCTTGCCAAGCAGGAGTTTAAACCACCAAGATTACCTCTGCAGCCCTAAAAAAATGATTATAAAACCCCTACCCTAAAAAACAAAACCAACTGGGTTCACTATTCATTATCTGAAATGCTTAGGACCAGAAGCATTTGGGATTTTAAACACTAGTTTATACAAAAGGAGGTATCTTGGGATACTAGACTCAAGTTTGAACACAAAATCCTTTTATGTTCTGCATACCCCATACACATAGACCTTTCTCACTGAGCTACATCCTCAATCCTTTGTTGTGATGGGGTCTTTCCAATTTGCTATCTAGGGCTCAAATTTGCAATGGTACTGCCTCCTAGAGTACTGGGATTACCTCATGACACAGCAGCAAGTTACCAGTCTCTAGTACACCCCAGCAAAACCATAAAAAGCTAATACTATTTTTTGTTTTAAGAACCATTCTGAGCCAGGTATAGTGGCTCACATCTGTAATCACAGCACTCGAGAGGTTGAGGCAGGAAGATCCTTGCGAGTTCAAGATCAGCCTGGGCCAAAAAGTGAGCTCAAGGCTAGCCTGAACAGCATATGGAGACCGTCTCAAAAAAGACAGAAAAGAGCTAGTCTGATCAGACCTTTGCTTCCTTTAGTTGCTCAAGCTAAAGCTTTTTCTCTTTTCCTTGCTTTTTAAACCTAATAAATCTGCTCCCCAGTATCTCTCTCTCATGCATCCTGCATTTTTTTTTTTTTTAAATGATAAAAGTCAATGACCCTGGGCTGGTGAGATGGCTCAGTGGTCTAAAGCACCAACCTAGAACAAGCTTAGCAAAGCACAGGGACTGAGGTTCAATATGCCAGCACCACATGCCAGTCAGCCCCGCCCCCTGGTGGGCTGAGCTGGTCACACACACACACACAAATAAATAAATAAAATTTTTTTTTAAAAAGTCAATGAACCTATCCCATGGCGGGTAAACAACTTGGGATCCCTATGTCCTCCTTGAAAGGACTCCTCTGTCCCCATTCCTTAACATGCCAATTTTATGATTTGCATCTGAATTATGCAAAAGAGCCCGTGACTGGTTTATAACACATCTGCATTCAAAAACATTTTGGATTTAGGAGCACTTTGGATTTTCAGATTAGGAATGCTTCATTTACATAGGGTTTCACTAACTACTGGCTTTCTCCTTGTTTATGATTATAGATGGCAAGAAGGTGCAAGACACCAGATACCAATCTCAGCAGGAAGAATCCCAGTGCTATGCAGGCAAATAATAATGGACTGAATCCACTGGGATAGGAATTTTGGGAAGACCTGGATGAGTTTCACTGTCTTTGCCTCCATCGCATCCTGTGTGGCTCAAAGTGCTCAAACAGGATATAAATAACTAAAGGAAATAATCACTACTTTGGCAAATGTACAATATTACTTAAAAAGCACAGTAAGTCAAGTGCACTCAGGAGGACAAGACAGGAGAATCAGTGAAAATTCAAGGACAGCATGGGATACAGAAGACTGTCTCAGAAAAACCAAAAACACATACTATGTGTTACCACTCTTGGACCTTAAGCATCTTTGGAAACATGTAATCCATTACTCTCATATAAAAGAAACAAAATGACAGGATACAAAACTATGTGGAACAGGGCTGGACAGATACCTCAGTGGTCTAAGCACCTGCCTGGCAAGCACAAAGTTCCAAATTTGATCCCTAGTACCGCATACCCAGCCGGTCACTGCCACCCGGCATGGTGGCACATGCCTGTCTCCCAGCGCTGGGGAGGATCACTATGAGTCCGAGCTGTGTAGCAAGACCCTGTACCAAGCACATAAGTAAGAGATTAAAAACAAAAACAAAAACAGAAAACCACAAAACTATGTGGAACAGCAGCAAACCAAGTAGATGCACCCAAAATGACTTGAGACGCACTGTCACTTATTACAATAGAAGTGGTAAACAAAAATTCTGAGTAATTTGTTTTTGTTTTTTTTGCAAAACCGGGGATTGAACTCAGGCCCTTGCGCTTGCCAGGTAAGCACTTATTCTACTGAGCCATCTCCCCGGACCCTCTCAGTAATTTTTTGTTTGGTACCGGGAATTGAACTCAGCATCTTCTGCTTGTCAGGCAGGCACTGTGCCGCCGAGCTATATTCCCCAGCCCTAAGTAACGTTATAAGCAAATAAAGACACTATCGGTTAACTTGGGGCAATTCAGAAACCTCATTGTTAGAATCTGTGGGGCAAATTTTTGCAGCCTCCGTGCCCAGTGAGCGGCTAAGGCTGCCCGGGCTCAGGCCTCCGGAAACCCAGACTCCGGTTGCACGAGGCCTCAACGGCTCGGCGGAGCCTCGGTCCTGCGGGCGCGCACACTTACCCAGGGGGCCCTTTCCCGCGGCCTTCGTTTTTAGCTCCTCAAGTTTCTTCTGCTCTTCCTTTTGCTTCTGTTTGAACGCTCTATCTTCCTGGGGGGAAGGGCGCGACAGGTTCACCACAGATCCCTCTCCCACCCACCGCTCCGCCTCCCCCAGCCCGGCCCCCGCGCTCACCTCGTCCATCTCCTTGGCCTGTTTCTTGGGCTGCTTCAGGGGCTTCTTCTTGCCACCTGTGGGCAACGCGAGCGCTGAACGCGTCCCCGTCTCCCGCCCCGCTTCGCCCGCCTCCCGCCCCACACGGCACACACTCACCTTCGCGGCCCGACATGGCGCCCGCACACCCAGCAGAGCAGAGCTCAGAGGCCAGCGACCAGCCCGCCGGCCCACCCCCTGCGCTTATAAGGCAGCACGCGCCCGCGGATTGGCTGCCGAGCCGGAAGCTGCGCTCCTGCCGCGGGATGCGGCTCCCGGGGGCGGGCACTAATGGGTCAGAGGTCAACTGAGTGGCAGCCGCTTCCCCGGGTTAGGCTCCTGCTCCGAAGGCTGGGTGGCCAGGTAGGAGGGGGGGGTCTTTGCATCTGCGGCGATCTTGAACCGCGGAGGGCACTCAGCTAGAAGGGACCAGGGCGGTGCTCGTGCACGGGAGGGAAGAGCGATGGGTGGGGGGACGGGCACGCGCACAGGTGATCCTGGGACCTGACCGTACCCGGGCTGGCTAGAAATAGGCTTGGCCCGACCGGGATCGTGATCTAGAGCTCTTTAAGCGCCGGAGAGAGTTTGGGTTTCATAAAATAAGCTGGGTGACTGCGAATTCTGTGTCTTTATCCAATACATTTTTGTTGCGCATATATTCTATGTAGATCGCGTTTAGACCCTGGAGATAAAGTTGTGAACAGAACTTCTTGTCCTGGCAGAATTAATATTGTAGAGAATGAGACAGACCATAGCAAACGAAGCAGGAAAAGTAAGGGGTGCTGGGTAGGGGTGGGGTGGCGCTTTTGTCTTACTCTTTTGCTTTTTCTGAACCCCATGGGGATTGAGCTTCAGGTCCAGCTCCTGCTTTTTTTTTTTTTTTTTTAAACAGAGGGGCTTATCTTTGTAGTTCAGGCTGGCTTTGAACTCATTATGAAGCCCAGGATAGCTTCGAACTTGCAGCGATCCTTTGTCTCAACTCCTGAGTGCTAGTATTATGGGCGACCACACCATGCCTGACTTTTTTATTTTATTTTATTATTATTATTATTATTATTATTATTATTTTTTGAGACAAGATCTTGCTAAGAGTTTGCCCAGGCTGGGCTTGAATTTGTGATCTTCTGTCTCAGCCTTACAGAATGCTGGGATTACAAGTTGTGCCACAATGCCAGGCTGGAATGGCAATTTCTGATAGTGTATTCAGAAGAGATCTCAGGAACTGGCACGTGAACAGAATTTACAAGGGAGCCTGGGGTGGAGATGAGGAGTGGGGCCGGGAAGTGAGCAGTGCAGAACAGGTGGTGCCAGGGGCCTGAGCTAGGAATAATTTAAGCAGTGGTGGTAAACCTATGGGGCTTGTGCCTCAGCCAGCTGTTATTAAAAGCTCTAAAAGGTTTGCCATCAACAACCAGTGTTTTAGGGCCAGGGAGATGGCTCAGTAGAATAAGCGCTTGCCTAGCAAGTGCAAGGGCCTGAGTTCAATCCCTGGTTCTGAAAAAAAAAACAAAAAAAAAACACCAGAAACAACCAGTGTTTTACCATCAAAATGGTCTGGGTCACTGGGCTGGACTGAGGAAAGGGAGGCCAGTTGAAGAGAAGTCCGGAGGAAGGAGAGCTAAGAGGTGGATCCCCTTTGGGCCATAGAAAAGACTGGCTTTTCCTTGAAAGAAGTGGGAAAGTATTGCTGGGTTGACTGGAGAGAGATGTGGTCTCACCTGTGGTCCTGTGATTTTTCTTTTTTTCTTCTCACCTGTGTTTTGAAAGGACCCACTAATTGCCCTGTTGACAGTGAAACCTGTTAGCAGACTCTTGGGATGCAGGCAAGGGATTTTGGTCATCGGGCTTATTCTGTAGCAGACAGAGATAGGAAGAGGAACTCTGTGGGTTTAGGAAGCCAGTAGGGCATGCTCACTTTGGCAGCACATATACCAAAGATAGGAATCCAGTGGGCATTTGCCGATAGATTGGATGTAAGGTGAAAGAGCAGTGAGAAGCTAGGGACAATGTGAAGTTTTTAATCTGAGTATTTGATCTTTGGGTTGCCATCAATTAAGATGGGTAAGGCTGGGGGGAAAGCAGGTTTGTGAGGTAAAGATGAGATTCCAGTAGGTTTTCAGGCTGAGATATAGGTTGGACCGTTCAGTAACTGAGCATGGAATCCTGAAAAGTCTGGGCTAGAAAAGTCAAAACTATAGTTTCTGTACTATAGTTTCTGTTTGCTGTGCTGGAGATCAAAGCCAAGGCCTTGGGCATGCTGGGAAAATGCTCTGCCATTGAGCTATACTTCCAAACTCATACCATTTTTATATTAATTAATTAATTTTCAGACAGGGTCTGGCTGTTCAAGGGTGGCCTTGAACTCACTATGTAGTTTAGGCTGGCTTGAACTTGTAGTTTTTCTTCCTCAGCCTCCCACCATGCCTGGCTCCCATAGCATTTTTTTTTTTTTTTTAGGATTGAACCGTGGTCCCTGTGCCTTGCCAAGCTTGTTCCAAGTAGGTGCTCTAGACCACTGAGCCATCTCGCCAGCCCCCTCCCATAGCATTTTAAAAGCAGAAAACTGTATGAACGACCAGTCTGAGTACAGAACATTGGGGTGTAACAGTTTCTGGAGGTTAGGAAGATGAAGGAGGACTAGAAACAAAGTGGAAATGGTGTTTGAAGGCGAGGAAGCTACAGTTAGGCACAGGCTGCTGACGGGGGAAGTGAGATTAGGCCTGAGAACTGGCTGTTGGATTCAGCAGTGTGGAGGTGACCTGGACCAGAGCTGTTCCAGTGGCATGAGGATGGGGATAATGGCCAGAACAGACAGGGTTTATGAGAGTGTGGGAGGAGAGTACTGCCCTGATTCAGGTGATCTGTCAAAGTGTCTGATGGTTAAGAGGAGGAGAAAGGTTGGCCATGCTGGCACACATCTATAGAATTCAGGAGGCTGAAGAGAGAAGATTGCTGTGATTTTGAGGCTATCCTGGGTTACATAGTGAGTTCAAGACCAGCCTGAAATACATAACAAAACCCTGTCTCAAAAACAGACAAAAGGAGCAGAGAAGCGGCAATTGTGGAGGGGGTCCTACTTGAATAACCGAGTGGTGGGAAAGGATAGGACCAGGTGGTGTGGGGGAGGTTGAGAGGGGGATTAGAGTGGAGAAACAACTTGGGGGTTGTCGACACTTTTCCTCACAGGGCTCCAACTGTCACCAAGCCTTTGTACTCGGAAATATATGTTAGGTGGAGAAAAATGAAGCAGAAAGGTGGCCAGGGATGGAGCGGTTGAGGAAGGCCTTATTAAAAGGTAGAATTTGAGCAATGATACAGATGTCAAGATGAGTTGTGGGGCTGGGGAGATAGCTCAGTGGAATAAATGCTTCCCTGGAAAGTGCAAGGTTCTGAGATTGATCTTCCAGGAAGAAATGCTGCTTTTGTGTAAAAAAAAAAAAAAAAAAAAGATGAGTTGTGTAGATGTGTCTCGGAAGAGTGGTCTAAAGGGGAGGTGGGGGCTGGAGAGATGATGGCTCAGTGGTCTAAAGCACCTACTTGAAACAAGTTTGGCAAAGCACAGGGACTGTGGTTCAATCCTCCAGCACCACATGCCAGCCAGCCCCGCCCCCTGGTGGGCTGAGCTGGCCACACACACACACACACACACACACACACAATAAATAAATGTAATAAATAAAAATAAATAAATATTTAAAAATAAAGGGGAGGTGGGAGAGCCCAAATGGTGCAGCAGGATCATGCTGAGCATGTCAGGGTGGCTGGAGCAGAATACTGTACCAGAGAAAGGGAAAAGGGTGAGAGCTGAGAGGTGCTGGGTGTTGATCCAATGCTGGGATTATAGGTTGAGTGCTGCTGGGATTATGGGTGTGAGTATTACCCGCCCCCCTCCGGGTGGATAGCCTGAATACAGTGTAAGGGAAGGAAAGAGGCTTGCTCTCTACCACTGCTGTTGCTCCTCCCCTTTTGCTCTTGCTGTTTTCCCGCCACCGTGAACTGCTGCCTTTTGCCACGTGGCACACTCTGCCTTGGAGCCAGCTGATTATGGACCGAAACCTCCACGAACTATGAGCCAAATAAGCCTTTCCTTTCTTAGTTTTGGCTATTGGGTGTTTTGTCTCAGCAAGAGAAAAGTAACAGCAGCGCACAGCTTCGTAGTGACTTCCAGGTCTGGAGTTAGTTAAAAGCCAGGTGAGCTGGGAGGCATGAGGAGTTTTGATCAGAGAGGTATGGTCTGACTCATAGGTTCACAGATTCTCAGGCTGGAGAATGGGCTGGGAGGGCAGGGGAAGCCAAGGTTGCACAGGAAGTTATAGCTGTCGTCTCTGCCAGGGATGGCTGGCCCTCTTGGGGTCAAAGAGTGGGACATTAGGAGAGGTCAGGAAAGGAGACTGAGAAGATTGGAGAAAGCTGAGAGTTGGCAGTGGTTTCAGGAAGAGTGTACAGAGTTACAGAACGACTGGAAAAGAAATCTGGAGGTGGAAGTCTGAACCTAACAAAGTGGAAATTTTGAGGGGCTTCCAGGAGGGCAGCTTCAATAGGGTTGAAAGAGAAGGAAATTGAGGAAGTGCTGACACCAAAGTGCTGAAATCCTTTCTACTGGGTGATGCTGGGCAGGAGACGGCACCGTTCCTGGTGACACAGGGCTACAGGTCTTTGATGAAGGGAACATAGAAGGCTCTTGTGGGGGCTCGGCCCGCATGCCCTGGGTATTGGCTGGGAGGTGTGGTGGCTGTGGCTCACCCACTGGAACATGCATGCTGTGTGAGGTCTGTGTATAGCCCCAGCCTTGTGAACAAGGACAGATGACTCAGGTACGACAGCAGTTTCAGTTCACTGTCACAGAGATGTGGCATTTATCTTGGACCTACTTTGACCAGAAGGCATGTCCCCTTCAGCCTCGCTATTGTTTTCAAGAAGGCCTGAGCCTGTCCAACAAGAATGAGAAGGCTGGGGTGCTGTGGGTGGGTCTCTGTTTACCCTACTGTTTGAAACACTGTTCTGCCCCTGGCTTCACCCTCTCTCTTTTCTGCTGGTCCTTCTGTTTTTCTCTGTCCTGCTCTGTTGGCCACCAGGTGGCGCTCTGACTATCAGGATCAGGCTGTGCGGGGTAGCTAGAGGGAGGTACTATTTTTTCTGGGGAATGTGGCTGACTAGTCCTTTCCTTGGGTCCTTCAGGTACCCCAGGGAACGTAGGTATATTGGGGACCAAACATCAAAGCAAGGTTGAAAGAGAGGCCTGATACACAGTGCCTGGGCTGGGGAGGAAGCAAAAAGCTTGCGGAAAGTGAAGAATGTGACACTGGGATCTGGGATCCAGGAGGGCTGGGTTGGTGGGCAAAAGGGTTGGTGTGAAGCTAAGAAAAGCTGTCCTCTGTGGAAAGCAGATTCTTTCCTTCTCCTGGAATTGTCCTCTCTAAAGAGAGTTGAGTTTCCTGACTTAGGTAATAAATGACCTATGACCATGGGGTCGCACCATAAGGGCAACCCTCCCTTCCCCAAGCTGAGGCAGTCTCAAGGAATCAGGGATATTACAGAAATGACTCTGGATCTTAATCTTGCCCTCAGTTCTGTCACTTTCCTGGAGTCTTTGTGAACTTTTGTGGAATTTTGTAAGCATGGACACAAATGGTTTGAGAAATTTCTTTGACATTATTAGAAGACTGGCACCAGGAGTCTCATCTAGGTCACATTAAAGAGTCATGGGTGGGGGGCAGAGATAGCTCATCAGTCTTAAGTGCAAAGGACCCAGATTCAATCGCTCTATTCTGGGCAGGCTGAGCCACTGGGGAGGCTGAAGCAGGAGGATCATTACAAATCTGAGCTGCATAGTGAGACCCTGTACCACATACGTAAAATTTAAAAAAAATCACAGGGGGGAAGGCATGATGTCCCACATGAGCTGTTCCCTCTATGTGTTCCATTGTCCAAGAGTTGGGAGGAGTCTGATCATCTCTTGCCACAAGTCTCCAGGCCCAACAATAGAGTGAGGCTTGCTTTAGATGATTGTAGTAGAAATTCATTTGTTCAGAACTATATATAGGCCAGCTGGGCATGGTGGCACACACCTATAATCCTAGCACTTGGGAGGCTGAGGCAGGAGGATTGCTGCTAGTTTGAGACCAGTCTGGGTTACAAAGTGAGTGAGCTCAAGGCCAGCCTGAGCTCCTACTAAGATCCTGTCTCAAAAAAAA